TGCCCACTGCTCCGGGTGTGAGTTCACGGTGTGTGTGTGTTCACTTTGGATGGGTAAATGCAGAGCACCAATTCCGAGTATGTTACCATACTTGGCCACATGTCATGTCACACAAAAGTGTGTAGTTTAAGTATTCAAATTGAGACGCAGTCTATGCTAAGAGCAAACGTTGAGACAAAACTAGAATGTCCCTGTTATAATTAACAAAGCTGCTACATTGCATACTTATAGTGTAGACAGCTGATTATAATTGAAGCACTTTAGTTTTGTCATTCCACATGCTAGACTATGAGAAGCAAAAAGGGTTGGATGGAAGAAGAAAGAGATGGAGAGGAGGTCGGAAGTAATGAGGACCTAATTAGCTTAGATTATAGAAACTGTGATGACAGAAGTGCCTGTGAGAGATACAGACACGAGCATACACACACATAACCGCGTACAGAGATGATGGCTGGGGTCAAGTGGCTGGGAGGATTAGTTGGAGTGTGTGGCAGGCAAATCTCAACTGGCCCTCAGAGGCGGAAAAGTTCACCGCAACTTTGGCTCCCTGTGATCGTGGCACCGTGTCATTAATCTGGATGCGTTGGTGCATGTAAATACACACTTGTCCTTCCCTGTAGGCGTGTGCTTGCACCTCCCTCAATTCACCCATCCAGCCCTTCTGAAATTTTTTATGGAATAAAGGCAATGAAAATGCAAGATGAATAAGGGGCTACAGAGAAAATAAAAAAGGGTAATGAATCTGATGAATATTCAGGTGGCTGCACGGCCCGCTTCTGCCCCGGTGAGAGTTGTCTGTCAGCTCTCATTCGTCTCCTCTCTTTCGTCACAGCAGCACCACAAAAACACAAAGGCTGCCTGACAGGTCTTTTTTCTGATAAATGCTCAGTTTTATGAGCATGTGAATTTGTATGATGGAGAAGGGGGAGGGTGGACCAGGGAAATAACATCATAGGAATGTCATGGAAATTACAGTTCTAATTATACTTCACTGTCAAGATTACTTGTATAGTGCTATTCATACATATGAAGCATGTTTTAAAACAGTGTTTTAAAC